TTTTTTTTTTTTTTTACATATGGTTTAGAGATGTTCCAATCCCCTCGAACTTTGAGTGTTGGACATGCATACAAGTGCTTTTTTTTGGTTTGGGTTGGTTATGGGTAGAATATTAGGTTAAGCCAGTCAGAGTAAGAGTAGGACAGGTGTGATGACTAGGGGTGTAAAAATACTATGAAATATTTTCTTAAAATTAGATTTTTTTATTAAATTTATCGCCAAGCATACAGTATCATAATATATCACAATATATTGAATTGTAACCCCTGTATTGTGATACGTATGGTATTGCCAGATTCTTGCCGATACACAGCACTAGTCCTGACTTCACATGACTTTCTTGGGAAAATATGGTGAAACAGGACATTGCTGGGAAGTAGAGCAGTAAAGAGAAGAATGATAAGCAGTTAAAGTAGAGAAAAAAATACACAGAGTCAGTTCACCACCAATCATGATGCGCAAAGAAAAAAAGCTGCAGATAATTGGTGACAAGCTGCGATCAGCTTGGCTCTTAATTGACTCACTGTGGATTAGAAGCTGGGGTTTCTGCTTTACCAGCCAGCCAGTCTCAAACTGGGGCAGCAGCCAGGCTGCACAGTCTTTGTAGAGGTGGCCCACAGTGACAGATGGGAAATAAGGTATTGTGTGAAATAACATGTTGTACTATATTATCTGCTGTATATTTCAGGTTCAGAGTTCAAAGCTTTATTTGTTGCATGCAGTGTATTTATTCTCAGTGTGTTACGACATCACACCATATGCATGAAGTGCAGCTTCTTGCAGCTGTGCTTTCTGTACTGCTGTTTGTGTGTCATGTTAGAGAAGATAACTGTAGCTTATTATATGTGTGCCCTTCCTCTATTCCCCATAATTTCCAAAAACACACTTCTTCATCATTCAGCTTCACCATGAGGCACAACCAATTAGGACTGCATATGGTCTTAACATCACATTGCAATTGCAATATGATTTGCAATTAGCAGGAATGATCATTTTTGCATCACAAATTTACGAAGCTTGGAGCAAACAAACATGTTTTCTTACAATGGAGAACGAGATTTGTAGGCCAGGGCATCTCCTCAGAACTACAGTACAGTTATAATGCTGTTTGTCACACAATTCACATTTATCAAAAAATTGCAGCTTCTGCGATTTGCATATTGCACTGGGCCATATTGCGATTAATTGTGCAACCCTACTACCCATTTCCATCTCCAACTACAGGACTGAAGGGGGTGATACTCTGTGCCTACACCCCTAAAGCAAGGGGACCACATTTAACCACGGACCTTATTTCAGGCATCTAACAAAAAAACACATTCAAATAACACATTATCTTCGAGACAGGGAAACCAGAGGGTCCAAACTCATTTCCAGGTTTTACGACTCATTCACAAGCAGTTTTTGTGTCTAGTTGTGCAGCCTAAGGAGAGAGACAGAGTAAGGTGTACTGGATGGAGAAGGGTTAAGTTAGCAGTTAGCTGTGAATATAATATGAATGTTTGGTTTAGGCTAAAATTTTTCTGAACATAAATGCTACAGCTTCTCAAGAATCAAGCAGTTCCTGAGTTTTGTTTACCAGCATGTGAAAACACAGTGTTTAGCCTTTAAGCTTGCTGCAACATCTGCCCAAGTAAAGAAGATTAGCTTAGTCTTTGACATATAATAAATAATAACTTCATAATCTTGGATTGTTAGTCATGAATATTTAATGTTATACTTAAAGGACCAGTACGTAGGATTTAGTGGCATGTAGCCGTAACTAAATACCACTCGCTTTCCAAGTGTGTAATTCCGGTGAAGCTTCGGTGAAAACGCAAAAGGCCCTATCTAGAGCAAGTGTTTGGTTTGTCTGTTCTGGGCTACTGTAGAAACCTGTAAGTTTAACATGACAGCCTCCGCAGAAGAGGACCCGCTTCCTCTGTAGATAAAAACAGCTCATTCCAAGGTAACAAAAACACAACAATTCTTATATTCAGGGTGATTATACACTGAATTATTATAAAACATACCTATGAATATTATATTCCATTTCTGCCAATACACAATAACACTGGACCTTTAAAATTTGAAGCCAAGGATTCAGGGGCGTTAAATGTGAACATGCATGTGAATAAAACTTGTGATCAACTTGCTGTGCAGTAGCGTAACACCACATTTGCGATATTACCTTATTTATTTTTTCTTCCTTCCAAGCTTACAACTGACTGAATGACAACAACTGACTGAATGTAAAAAAAAAAAAAAAAAAACTTTAGAAACTATAGTTGAGGTTTTTAGACTGCCTTATATAGTTTATAGACCATTCAAGACTTTTTAAAAGCCTTCGTTCATTACAGTAAATAGCTGTGTGGAAATAAAAGTATACAGTGGTGAATTTTCATATGACGGACGCTGTTATTTTTCTACAGTGGAAATGGACTTGAGGCTCCTAATTTATCCTGAATCTTTGTGCATTTTCATTGGTACAAGCAGAAACTAACCACTATATCTGCTCTGTGTAATGCACCAACATGCTCTCGTAACTGCCCTCTGCTGTGTTTGATATGCTGTTAGAGTCTGAAATTGTCTTTGGTGCATACTGATACATGCTCTGCTCTGTGTGTATGTGTGTGCGTGTGCGTGTGTGTGTTTATGCACCTGCCACTTTAGATGATGTGTTGGCGAGGGATGCCGGTGAGTGTGTGATCTGTCTAGAGGAACTGCAGCAAGGGGACACCATAGCCAGACTGCCATGCCTCTGCATCTACCACAAAAGGTGACACACACACACACACACACTCGCACACACACAGATTTGAATCACTGCCCGTTATATAATTTTGCACTTCTTCTAATTAAATCCACTCAGTGCACTCCAATAAAAACATTCCTTAAAGATGGACAGTAGCTACTTGTTGCTTTTGATTTAGAGGTTATTCATATAATATCATTGGACAATAAAGGTGCTGCGTGTAGCTTTTCTAAACTGTCAGATTAACTAACTGATAACTCGGAAAAATTACCATAAACAAATGAGAGCTGCTAGTTTTTCCAAAAGTCTTATAGCTGAGTGTGCATTACCCATCAACACTAGTGTTTCCTGTCACAAGTTGGATGTTGCTTCTTCAGTTTTTTTCCATTGGTTTTAATGAAAAACACAAACACGCTAAATATGTTACTTAATTGATTGATTTTGATTGGTATTTGCATAATATTGCATTAATATCCTGGATTTCAATGTAAATAAGGGTTTTACAGGATACCTTGATCTGCTTCACAACCCTTTATAAGTTGAAGGAAATCCCAATTTTTAGATGCTTTAGATTAAGTATTTCCATTTTAAAGCCACTTTATATTTCTACTTCACAAAACTTGAGAGAGAAATTGTGTAATATTTGCTAAACTGCATGCATCTGACAGTCTGTAATATTGCAGGTTAAGACTGATTGGATTTCACACATGTATAATGGATGTGTTGCTACTGCAATTCAAATGTGCATTATCATTAGCATTAGCATTAGCATTAGTATTATGGTTATTAGTAGAGGTTCTTCCAAACATTTTGGATGACTTTATTGACCTTAAAAAACTATTTTGGTTTAAAAGGTCCAATCCATTGCACAACTGTGAATTACTTGATTTTGTTTTTTTATATGCTATACTACTGCTACTTCACTACACCTACACTAAACTGGGATAAGGGATAAACTGTCTGTCAGCTATACAAGTAGTTAATTACTTTGTAAATAAAGAGTTTATATGCAAAACATGTGGTTAACCTTTAATTATTTTGCTAGTAATAATGTTAGCGAGCATGCAAGCTAAGGTTAGCCAGCTGCAACCCAGCTACATTGAATAATGACACCAGCCAGCCCACAACGCCAGCCCCAGATCAGCCCCAGGAGTCTGGATGAAGCTAGCTTACAGTATTTTGCTACATTAGCTAGCTAGCAATTTGTCCATGTTATCAAGCAAGCTAATATTATCCGATAAAACCACAATATCATAATATATTTCACAAGCTTTGCAGTAATGTTAGCTTTGACTTTGGACTGTTGTGGTGAATGCCAGTCATTTGTAGACGTTAGCCATTTCTAAGCTAACATTAGCTAGTGTGTCACACTGATACTGTGTGGAAGCAGAGAGAGCAGACACATTCTTTGGATCTAGCAGAAAATGTGACCTGCATCCATACACAGCAACATATAAAAAACAGTCCAAAGGCAACCAAGAGAGTCGGGAAGGTCTTGGTTTAAGATACGTTTCAACTTGTTCACACATTGGCAATAAAGAGAATCTTACAAATGACAAATCGAGCAACATTCTGAATGCAAAACTTTATACTTGTAATGGTGGTACGCCTTCTTTTACTGAAGTAAACGATCTTCTTCTTTGTATTACACACCAATAGTAATAGAGAAATGTTGTTAAACGGTTCCATAAAATGCAGTGAGGATGTGAAGTTTAATGCACATGTGAGTGTGCTGTAACACTTCTGTTTTCCACTGGGTCTCATTTATATATTGTATATTGCGTATGTTCTGATAACGTGGGAGTGCATGGAGGCCTTCCAACAAGCCTACGTGTTACTTTAGCAACAATCCTCTGTAGTACTGAATCCATTTAAGACTACAATGTGATTAAATTGTTATCTTGTGATTGGTTTGACAGAATAACTTAATGACTGTGTGTCTATGTGTATCTGTAGCTGTATAGACTCTTGGTTTGAGATCAATCGATCCTGCCCTGAACACCCCTCTGACTGACCACTATGGCCCACTATGAATACTGTTCAAGGTGAGACACACAGCACATACACACTACTCTCTGAATACTAATTATTGCAAAATACCACTGTGCAAGTAAACCACTGTACAGAAGCTCATGTTGGCTTTGTATTAAAATTCAGATGGGGTCCAGTCCCTGTCTTCCTCTGGTGATATGATGGACACAAATTAATTGTAGAACTGATTATTGCTCTGTATGGGAAGACTTTAAACATCATTTTGGAGGGGAACATTTTAAATAATAATATATATTTATTTGTACAACCCCTTTCTAAGGCCAAGCTACAAAGTGCTTTACAGTGCAGAAACAAGATAAAACCAGCTCCAATAAAACATAAACACAGAATAGGAACATATTAATACTGTCTACAGCCATGCCCTGTGACGCTGTAGGCCTCCTTAGAAATAACCATGCTTTGAGATGGATGCCAACATTAGCATGCTAACATCATAATCCCAATGCGAATGAATGAATGTTTAACAGGGGTGTTTACAATATTCACAATCTTAATTTAACACATTAGCATGCTGAAATTTGAAGATTAGCACTAAACATAAAGTTCAGCTGAGGCTGATGATCCTTTAAAAGGATACAAAACAGTATGTTTTGTAGGTATTTGGTAATAAACCAAAAGTACTGGGTAAATTAAATATTAAATTTGATCGTGCAATATGAAAAGTTAACCCCTCCCTCCTCTCTGTCTCCAGGACATCTGGTTGTCCTGCTATGGATATCTGGACACAGACGCAACCAAATCTGATGAAACAATCAAAGTGATCAACACATACTTATCCTGACAGAATCCACCATCCTAACCAAGATAATTATTCCTCGTGAACTGAACCAAAAAACCTGCCCATCGTACATTAAAGGGCCCCTCCCGAGCCCTCCATTTAACGTCTGCTTACAACAACCCCTTCCCTGCCCCTCCTTCCCTCCCCACCCACTTCTCCAGGCTAACAAAGTCCATTGAAGGGCTTCATCTGCCTCAACCCCCCATCCCCTCCAACTCGAGTGGCCATTTGCCTCCCTGACGTGCTCAGGTCCTCGCAGGCCTCCAGCAGCTGGCCTTCCATCTTGGATCCAGGCCTGTCAGTCATTTGTGTCCAGCCCTCCCATGGCCTTAACTGGAGAGAGGAGAGGAAGCAGAGCAGGGAGCGGGCAGGAGGGAAGAGGAAGGAAACCACGCGAGGAAGAAGGAAGACGAGGAGGAGGAGGGGGAAGAGAAGGAGGAAATTGTTGAGGATTGTTGAGTTGCAGAAGCTTGCTTCAAGAAACAGACTTGTACATTATTTGGTAGGCCTCTCATCTCACAACAGGACTCCAACTCGGTGACATTACAGACTGGGTTCCAGTGTGCTTCTTTCTCATAGTTCCTGCCTCAGTTCTGCAGCCCTCCTCGTCAAATTTGACTCATAATAATCAAATTAAAGTACCCAAAATGCTTCTTAGATCCGGGTTGTGCACACCTGGGCAGGCAGGGAGGGATGGAGGGTTAAAAAAAATGTCTTGTGTGTACAGGATGGATTGGGGAGCGGTCTGAGCATGCTCAGTTCTGATTAGGAGGGAGAAAGGGGCCAGCAATGTAGTTTACGCTCCTACTGTGTAACGTGTGTTTGGGATGCTCCAGTGTCAGGCTTCACCCGGTACGTGTATGTGCACTGTGTGTGTGTGTGAGAGAGAGAGCTTGGAAACATAGCTTTTGCTGAAGCCTAGTGTGTGTGTGTGTGTGTGTGTGTGTGTGTGTGTTTGAGAAAGCGTGAAAGGTCAGTGTAGAGGGCTGACTGGAACAGTGCCGTGTGTGTGTGTGTGTGTGTCTGGCTGGTATTTGAAATGTTACAGGTCTAGATGTACCTATGTTCCTCCTGTTGGTGTGGTGTGACTGCCACGTCCGTTACACCTTGGTGACTTGCTAGTTTAACCGTGGTCGGCCAAACACGAAAGCAAAACATGACATATTGTAAATGACACGCGTAACCTCTCTTGGTTCTTTCTTTTCAGATCTGCCAGATTTTTTATGTGACCATGATTAGTCATTTTCTCGTGAGAGCCTCGAGTGTCGAGAGCGTGCGTGTGTGTGCGTCTCCGTGCATATGACTGTTTGTGCATGTGTGTGTGTGATTCAAGAGGCACCTCTTGGTCTATGCTACTGTCAGTCCCCCCCCCCCCCCNNAAGTTGTGTTTCTGCTAGAGTAGGTCTGGCTGACTGCGACTGGAGACGTGAGCCACTCAGACCCGAAAAAAGGACTCTAGTCCCACTGTGGATCCACTGAACGGGGCTTATTTATTCATTTGTTCATATTTAACAATATTTGTTTGATATTCCAATCATGTGAGGTGTTAACTCACTCTTCAGAATGCCAAGAGCTGATGTATGAAGACTACTACAAATCAACATACAAACAAACTGCATTTACAAGCTACTGTAAACAAATGGTGGAATAAATTGTGCTAGATGACAGACTCCATTTTCAACTTTCATTCTGTGACCCAGCACTGGGTTTCCCATCAGAACATCTTAATCCTAAGATCATTGTCGGCCAATTAGACACACAATGTGTACAGTATGTACTATACCTGTATATTAATGGGACACGGTGTTACAGTTAAAGTCTCAGGAGAAATCCACCCTTGAATCGTCTCCCGCTCTTACATCAGGAGTTATTTTGGGATTGAATGTGACGTATCCACTTTCTGTGTAATTTTATTTCATATAGTCATTTTACTATGTTTCCCAGACTGCTGTTTGACAGTTAATAAGGAAGGGACTGTGTATTGTACTACTATGACATGCTGACATACTGGGGGTCGCCAAAGCTTCACA